GTTCCTATCAACCCAAGGTGCCTAGAAGTCTACCTCCTCTTGAGAGAATGATATAATAGGGCAGCCTCAAACAATGTTTGTCAGAAATGCTATAATGTGAACGGTTTATGGCTGACCTTATGTTTGCTTTTACATGTTGGACATATTTTTCTTCTAAGGGAAAATTATTCTTTATGGTGCGTAGCTTGGCAAACATCTCTGTCATTGTTTGTTGTGTGACAAAGAGGTTGTTTTGTATAGCGTTGCGCTGGATTTTGCATGGTTAGAAGGGACGTTTTGGTAAGCTGACTGAGACAGGGTTGCCGCCCCCCGTTGGTGTATTGTGTGCGTGTCCTTTGTAATTCTGAGAGAGAATTTGAACTGGTATGAAGATTGGGGGAATTTTTCTGCAACTGTGTCTGGGAATATAATCAACCATTGCAAGGGGTAGCATGTGATTGTATTCCATTTTTCCATGCCAAAGAAAGGGAAAACGTTAGTCAAAATCTTAGGCATTTAAAGGCATCCAATGCGATTTCAGCAAAACTGGAAATATTCTGAATAAGGCAATCTTTGTGATATTGACACATACTGCTTCACATTAGCACGTTTGAGTCAGTATTTCATACTTTGGGCTTTTAAAACTGAAGAAACAAAGCCCTGAGATGAGTCCTTTATTTTCTGGGTGGTACCCTAAATATCAGCCCTTCCAGTGACCACTTTCCGTCAGAATTTTTGCCTTGAGGGTCAATATACATTCATAGTGTGATTTCAACTCAGTATGTGGATAAATGGATAGAATATTGGCTTTGAAAACTCAGGTTTCCAAGCCCTAAAAACTGCACTGGATGCCTCTAAACTGTCCAGTGTTATAACTGACAAGTCATAGAATCACATAGAGGAATTTGTAAATTTGCTGACGAAATATACGAAAATCTCACACGGTCTTCCCGTTTCGTTTCTGAGGCTACAGTTGGCAAGATTCGCTGATCTTTAACCCAAATTCCCTCCGACAGCGGACAACTTTCTACGACAGAGTCCATTAGTTCCTGCTTAGATTCGGCACGTCTACATCAGCAAGTAATGGATGCTCCATCCCTCAAGGATATTTGAAATGTAGAATTGGGTCCTGGGGGGAATTGCGCCCACTCCTCATGCATGTTGGAAACGATCGGTTCGAATATCAGAACCAAGAAGTTGAGACACTCAAGAAGCTATTAGTGTCACATCAATGGAAAGCTTAGTCTTCTGATGTCTGGGTTCGCTGAGGTCTAATTCTGGCACGCAAACGCTTCTGAGCCAGCCGTCCCATTTGTGATGCGTTTTTGAAGCTGGGAGATGCACAGCACGAGAGGCTAAAACAAAGAGTGAAGTAAATTAGGCTCTAGGCACTAAAAATAAGCACTAGCCTTTTAGCAAGATAGAGTGGCTTATCATCAGGAGAACTGATGAAAAAAAAACCAGCAAACACAACAATTCGAGGCTGACATTTTACAGCTATTTTGCTAAAGTGAAGAGAAAGACTGCATCTTAAGCAAGAAAGGTCTAGCTACAAGGCTTAATGGTTTAACGTGAGTGTCAGAATAGCCCTCCAAAAGACCAAACCAAAATGATTCTTACAAGGTACTTGACTTCATTCGAGAATGGTCTTCTACAGTTTGCTCTTTTGGATTTTTGCGGCAATAAAGACGTCAGAATGCCTTCCAAAATACCAAACCAAAATGATTTTTACAAGGCATTTGACTTCATTCAAGAATGGTCTTCTACAGTTCGCTCTTTTGGATTTTTGCAGCAATAAAGACGTCAGAATAGCCTTCCAAAATACCAAACCAAAATGATTTTTACAAGGCATTTGACTTCATTCAAGAATGATCTTCTACAGTTCGCTCTTTCGGATTGTTGCGGCAGTAAAGACGGGCGTATTCCCTACAAGAAGCGTGCGTCTGTAAGGCACAGATGGTTAATAACAGGGTAGAGGGATTTTACAGCACCCGTGTCGGACTTAAGAAGCACACCTGCTGATTCCCTTTAAACCACCAGGAACGCGCAAACGGAACGCAGCATGGCAAAACGGTCTTAAACATGTTATTATTCCTCCAGGTTGCCACGGAGGGCCGCGCTGGTATAGATCGCGCGGGCCTTAGCGATAGGGTAGCAACGCGGCGAGGGCTCTCGCTGGCTACTGGCATTGCATGCAACATTTGTCTTGTCACAAATGATTAGGTGAAGCCTGTCATCTCAGTTGGGTACCTGTTTCAAACCTGTAATTAAAAACCATTAATCTTGTGGACACCCGCCGGGGGAAAACCGCCTCCGAAAACGGTCCGGACTCCCGTGCCGCGTCCAGGCCGGGGCAATCCTACCGCGGGAACGCGAGAAGCGTGTTCCAACGCGATTAGAAAGACGCGGATACAAGCTAACGCGATTAGAGCTCAACCTGTATTCAACCGCTTTCGGGAACAAGATTCATAAAACGATGCGGAGCTCAAAGACTGAAATATGATCACCCCGCAGGTGTGAACAGGGAATCAAAATGGAGGGAAAATTCGCAATAAAAGAGCGTGACAAATCTGCACAGCAAGTCCCCCGCTTCAAAGGGTCGGGGGTTTTCTTCCGTTTTCTATGGGAGGAGGCTCCCTACCTGGAGTGATACATTTGAAACACAAAAGTGTGTGTAAATACAGGCTAGTCGAGACGGAGGAAAGAAAACAGCAGATGTCTAGGAGAACTCTCTCTCTCTGCTATGTCTGGAAGAGAGGTGTTCGTTCTAACACTTGCTGTATAAAAGGAGAGCAAATAGTTATCGGAAGTGCTGAATATTCATTGCTTTCCTGCAAAAAAAAACTCCACATGGAATACAATTGTACTCAGCTTTTGCAGAGTATAAATGACTTCTGGAAGGTTATCCACATTCCCAAAATTGTGTTGGTAAAAGCAAATATCATATCATAAGTAGTTACCGATTCTATCTATCACTGCTTGACCATTTCAAATTGAGAAACATATTCACTGATTTTCATTTTTACTAGGTTTTATTGAACTTCCAACAGTGTTCTTTTGACCAGTGTTGTCTTTGAGTGTTTTATTTCCAAAGAATTTGGCAACCTGATATTTAATTTTCTCAACCTCTTATTTCAGTGGACAATACTGTCATATAACCCTGACATGTGCTGGGTATGTAGCACACTGCTTTTTCTGACTAGACCAAACAATGTAACCATATCAGTGATATAACGTTTTATTCATGATGGTTGAGCCACTGGCTTCTTTGACTAGACCAATCTCTGCATACATTTTTCACAGCCCTGGCCTTTGGTTGAACTTAAAATCTGGCTTAAGACCAGAGACATGGAATCCGTCAAACGCCCCGGCCCATTCAAAACACAGCAAGGTCTCTATTCTTAGTAGCTGTCAAGTATATACCTACTTAGCATTACCTCTATCCAAGCACGAGTGTCCCCAACCCAGACCGTGGCATTCCGGCCTTTCATCGCACTTCAACCACGGCTAAAGCGACAATTACGCTTGAAAGCCCGGTGCGCGCACAATGCCACCTAATATGTAACGCTCTGTTACCCCACAATTGTAATTGATTCAGGCACTCAAAGCTTTCTCTGTCCCTCTAGTCAAACAACTGCTTGTGGGAAAAGATGTCGCGAGGAACCCCTTGAGTGGAAAGCCAACAAGTGTCGGCGAAGTCGGCGGTGGCACGGGACATCCTGAGAGAAAAGTTACCTGGTTGGCACAAAGTACAACTTTGTAGCAGATGGCAAAGTGTTCTTCAACACGTAGACAAAAGAACTGACAGAGAAACCAATGGGTGGGGGGAACAGTACGTCCCCCATTGAGACCGGAACAAAACATCATTCACTCTTGCTAACTTTTGACTCCGTAAACCCTGCCAAATATCTTTAAAATTAACCTGCAAATTGGACCATTTCGTTCCTACCAATACAAGAGGCCGTCCGCTGTCACTTACGTGAACTTGTTTTCTAAGGATTACATTCCCCGCAAGTATGACTGTATATTTTCTTTCCGCTTCTTTTGTTATACAGAATTTTCCGCTGAATCAGAGCTTTTCCCAATATTTGTTATCGCTTGACAAATATTGGTAATACTCCTAGAAGTGACAGATGGTGACAGGGTGACTGGAAGGTTTGCGTGACCTCAAGTGACGCTTGAGCGATGTTAAGTATAAACTTTCTAACAACTTGACATTCCAGAAGAGACAGTAAACGCCACCTGTGAATAACTGTGGGAAACAAGTCCTTTCAACGCTGTCAAGACATCCGATGACTGAACTTCTCAAGAGTTCTTGAACTTCTTGTCACAGCTGTATTGTTTTCTTATACTTTTCTGTGACCAGAACTTCAAAGTCAGGTCAAGAACACGACAAGTAAAAGGTCATAAGTGACATTCTCTTTTAAATCAAGCCAACTCTGGACCATTGTAATGACTACTGCACTGGAAGTTCAAAACATTTGTTTTGTTTTTGCTTATGTCTAAAAGAGTTAAGAAACGGCACCTTAAAGTGTGCTGAGTGGCAGAAAATGTTCTTGCTTTCTCTTGTCTTGTTACCAGTCATACCTGTGAGTGACTCCATTGTTCAACTATCGTTTTCATAGCTCTGCATTTTAGTGTGTGCTATGTTTTCCTCATTGTCGAAAAGTGGGAATTTTCAGTCCCGTTCAGTGTTGCATAGTTTTAACTACAACACTCTCTTGTCTGGCTCAACCACCCTCATACCAATCCTCAATACCATTTTCCTCAGTCTGAGTAGTTGAGTACGAGTAGTTCTTTATTAAGTGACAAGATCATACTGTACATCTTGAAACTTTAGCAGTGGTTACATTTTCACCGCGACCTCCCCACTGCAAATTCATGACACTGCGAGTAAGAGTTCCTAAACAAACCGTTTGGTTCCCTGCGAAAGTAAATGTATTTACAGTATGAAGGTGGGTAAACCTACCATTTTGTTCCCTGCTAAGAAAGATAACTTTACAGTATGAAGGTACACCTACCGTTTGGTTCCCTCCTCTTGTCCCACCAGTGAGTCCTTGGACATCTCCATCAGTCGCATGGCCTCGTTCACATCGTCCTTCTCAACTACATCCACCAACCGCAGACGAGCCTGCAACAGTCACAACAAGGTCCACGACATCAGCATCTTTCCAAAGCTTTTGCGATATCTAGATATAATTATGTTTACCAAAGGAAAACATATTGTTTTTGCTATGTTTCCTCTTCTTTCAAAAGATCAATATCCTCAACCAGATTGTCTGTCACCATGGTAACTACTGTTGGGTTACATCATGTTGCATTTTCATAGCTGGAGGGATTTAGACTCCTGTCTGACCATATATACAATGTACAGGAATGTGTTAAGAATTAACAGAGCAGACCATATGGGAAGGTGAACATTATGCATTTGTTCACCTTCTGACTGCTTCTTATGAATCCCTGATGCCTTTCTAGTTCTTAGGTGTTTATTATAAAACTTTCTTTATTTTGTTATTTGTGGAATCTTTACTTCTTTATTTGTGGCAACTTACTACCAATGTTTAAAGCATATCTCATATCTTGGTAGTCCTTCGGAGCTGTATATCTCATACTAGTATACAGCTTCTTTCAAAACAAGTGAGCTCTCTTTTCTGGGTGGGAACGGAACACGAAGACCAAAATCTACAAAAGTGCAAATGGCAACCACAGAACGAGGTTCACACTGCCTAATGCACTTTCCACAACGTGTTTGCTTCCACAAAATGTCACCAATGCCACCGACAAACTATGACAAATACAGGAGGTCCCGTGGGCAAGCTTAGAGTCAATCACTGCGGCCACCTCCAATCCCGCGACCTTTACTCTCCCGATCGCTACTTAAGACTCGGTCGACCCCTCCAGCTTCCAATCTTGAAAACAAAGTTCCTCGGGGCGTGTCAAAGGTTACGGGAGAACATGCCCCCAATCTCGGATGGTCCAAAATGATAAATGTCGGGGAAGGTGTTTTACTCCGCAGTAATTTAGGCACTACCTAATTCCCGCTTATCTTATACATGACCCTTGCTTATACAGGAACAGCCAAGCACCTTCTAGGAAAAAAGTATATGTCTCGAGGATATGGAAGTAATATGAGGGATGGTCTGAAACCGTCAAAATGTTGTTGCTAAAAAAAGGAATGTACTAGTATAAGAAGGGCACTTTCTTAGACTGTGTAACTTGCAGAGAAAAAAGAGTTTGCAGTAGAATTTTTGATACATGAACACACATGCTTTACTTGAACTTCCAAAAGCCATAAAGATTTAATCACATTAAAATTAAGTCAATAGAAACCAGTAAAGACCATGCTATTTTTGAGAAATGACACAAAAACATGATGTGATTTTCACAAACAAACACACATGCTTTACTTGAACTTCCAAAAGTTATAAAGATTTAATCACATTAAAATTAAGTAAAAAGAAACCAGTAAAGACAATGCTATATTGAGAAAGGACACAAAGGCATGATGCGATTTTCATGCCATGTCTATGACTGCGAAATGACCAAACTTCTCTGACACACCGACCGAATTCGGTGCTCAACTTCTCAAAAAGGAATCTTCTGACTCATTCTGATTCATGGAATCAGACGGGAATAAATTTCGTTCCCGACACGAACCCTGCGGATTGTCTGCCCTCCGTTCTCCGAGTTCACCGCGATGTCACCGACATGTCAAACCGCGCCCCTGCGAAACACGCCCCAGAACCCCACATTTCCTCCCCAACATTAAGTCGTGTTACAAAGATCACCCGCAGGCAATATCCCGACTAATGCAGGCATCAATTTACTACAAGCAATTACTGCATGCAAAAGAGACGTCGGCAGATCCTTATCAAATTTCACATTCTGAAACACCGTCAAATTTTCAATAGGACATTTACGTGTGTCGTGGAGATAATCTAATTAAAGCGCTTGAAGGATTGGTCTAAGTGTAGGGCTTGCACAATTTGACATGGTAGAATTGCATTTTACGTTGGCTTCTAAAGGGTGTATTTGTTCAACGGTAAAGTTGTTTGGACTGTGAAATGTTGGTAAATGTAATCCTGATTTAATGCTGTTATGTGCTTGAAAGAGTAAATATACAGCCGCGCAGACGACATAACATTTAGGGAATAAAGGGACGTTTCAAAGGACACGCTGCGCTCCATTTATTAACCGCCTATCTGGGGATAAAGATATGAATTCGCAGCCAGCGTGCATACAGGATTATCTCCCGCCAAGTTCACTAAAAATCGATCTAATGCGCGGGGAACAGAGAGCTGGTACGGAGAGCGATAGATCTCGCTGTCAGTGGCGAGAAGTGAGCGGGATAGATAAGGAACGTGATGTATCGGCTGTCAGGGCGCGGGAAAATGGCAGGACGGGATTGGGCTGTTTGTAGATTTCTCTATTCTTTCGGTGACTGAGTGCAGACAGTGGCGGTGTTATCTCCGAGCGACAGAGCCAACATCTGCGTGCTCCGCGGAGCAAGCTGGGACAGACTCATATCATGAAGTGACAATGTTTTTCCTACCCTTACCTTGACACAGAGCACCACCAACCCTACAGACATGAAAAAAATCAGTCAAAAACGTGGTTGTGATCTATTTTGGACAGTGCTGTGTACCTAAACCCACATTTAAGTTCAGGTCCGGATTCAAGTCCAGAGGTTTAGGTTCAGTTCCAGACTCGTAAGTCCAGACCTAAAGCCATGGCATATACAAAATTGCATGTTGGCAACCTTGCAACGTTGATTGGGCAAAACTTTGGCCACATAAAATGGAGGCTGAGACTTGACAATGCGGATGGCAATGTTTTCTTCATTTTGCAGAACAGATTTTAAAATCTATGGAAGGTTTTAGGTGGTTTGGAAAGAAATGGGGGCATGTTTTTTTTTTTTTGTAATAAGTCTGGAATCGGTTCTTGACTTTTAGTTTTTTTAGGACTTGAAACTTAATATTTTTAAAGGTCCTGGACCGGCCCAGCAAATGGTACACAGTACTAATTTTGGACAGTCAGAAACGGATAGTACTTACCGTTTCCATACCGACAACTATGTTGCTTGATTTCAACAAACCGTCTTTTACAAATCTGAAGCATCCTCTTATTGCTACTTGACACTCTACCATCCTATGGGTGCTGTGTAATATATTTCATACTGCGTACTTGGGAAAATTGACAACTTTGATGTATATACAGTGAGTTTTAAGCCTTAAAGTCTGTACCTGAAACATAGCATGGATTAGACCACAACTTAATGCAATAACCTTGGACTGAAAGGCTCAACCGCAGCCTTTTTAGTTCTTACAATCTTTTATTAAAATCAAAATGAGTGGAACTGATTAATTAATATACTCTGGGTAATCACAGAAAGCAATGCCCAGAATATAATTTTAATCTTAAAAGAATCTATAATATTTATCATTTCAATGTAGAAATGAACTAGAAAGCAGCAGTGTATGTACGATATGGTGTTTTGAGTATTTGTCATAATATTTTATTGTTGTTTACGTCCGTCCTATTTTTTCTGTAGTAAATCTTGATACAATCTTTTTCAATAAGTGCTAATTTTATTAGCAAATCAATTTTAGGCCACACCAATTTAATTTTTTGGTTAAAGGATTTGCCTGCTTAATTTTTTTCCGATTTAAAAAAAAAATCAGAATCAACTGCAAAATGCTCATATTTTGCCCTGAACAGTTGAAAACAGTCCTTTCCATCCTAGTTGTTACAGTTATTCCATCTTTCAATGCAGTGGTATCATTAAAAGTTCAAAATTCATTGTATAAATTTTGAACCAGTCTGGTGTGTTGACTTCATGGCTCCTATCATACCATTTTGGGCCATAATAGGATGCCTAGGCCTGTTTTTATTTCATCCACCCGCTCCATTATTTTTCTAGAAAAATTCGTTAACCAAGAAATTAAATTGGTGTGGCCTTAGTACTGAGAAAGAGTTGTCTCCCTATTAACAAAAAAAAGGTACTCCCAAGTTGGACCCATGTACATGTATGTATGTAGGTATTACCTAGGTTGATGGGTGCTCACGGGTAGGTATTATAGTCATCAGCATGTAAATGCAGTTCCCCATGTATCTAATGATAATCCACTTCACCATGCAAACCTCTCGAGACTCAATGTTGAATCACTAATATTATGGGAAGGGGAGGTACTTTTGGAGTATGGATTTTAACATGTATTGTAGTAGTTTGGTAAGGAAGTTCCTAAAGACCACACCAGTTTAATTTGTTGGTTCTCAGATTATTTCACAAAAAATCTGAAGCGACGGGGAAAAAAAAAAAAATAGAAACAGGTCTAGGCATTCTATTATAGCCCCAAAGGCTACAATAAGAGTCAACACAAAAGGCTGGGTTAACATTTGAACAATGAATTTTGAACTTTTAATCAAACCACTGCATTGATAGATGGAAAAACTGTAACAACTAGGAACAAATGGACTTTTCTCAACTGTTGGGGGCAAAATATGAGCATATTTGAGTTAATTTAGAACCAGAATCTTTTTCCTTTTTTTCAGAAAAAAATGAAGAGGCAAATCTGAGAACTAATAGATTAGGTGTGGCCTAAGAATGGCATTGAAAGTTTGATGTTAAGGCATTAGCGGCGAGCTACGGATAGTGTCAGAGCGCGGATGTTTAGGACATCTCGTTTCCCGCGGGGCTAAAACGTCAGTCTGCGCAACGTTACCGCTCGGCGCTACGAACCGACGGACTACTTGGGATGGTAATTACGCCATATCGGGGCAGGTGTTAGATTTAACCAAGATTCCATCAGTGGATTCCGTAGGCATTAGGGAGAGCTGGAGAGGGATTATTCCACGTATTTGGGAGAAAATTCCCCCGGCGGTTCCAAATGCAGCGCTCAGCACCGCCTTGGGAGCGGCGCATACGAAAATCAATCAGGGCGACAGTACGGAATCCTCGGCGAGGATTTATCGGCGAATTCCGTATTCAATCATACGCGTTAAATAAGAATATGGCACGCCATAATGACGACATGAGAAACAAGTACCTTTTATGTCGGGTAGACTAATAACTAGGATGAATTACATCATTACAGGCCTTGTCCTCACATAATGCTGGCCTTTTGCAATCAC